AAAATGCTCAAACTCAGAACACCCATGATTTTAACCTGATCCTTTTTTCACCTTTCTCCCCTTCCCCTTTCCTCTTTCTCCTTTGGGTTTTCTTTCTTCTGCCTTGGGTGTTTGGTCGATTATTTTTTTTCCCCTCTGTGCTCTTATTCCTACCTTTTGTGGACCCCTAACTCCCTTGCAGTGCTCCTCTTTCTTAGTCTTTGACTGACTCCACTATTATCATTACCTCTACCACTACCTCTCTTCTTCCTTTCCTACTACCTCTATTGTCCTGTACCTGTCTGCTGTCCTATACATACTCCCTCCTTCTCTCCTTTTTGTTAGTGTGACTTTGTAAATGGTCTAAGTCAGACTGAAACATCGGCATAAGCCCCTCTCTCCTATGTGTGGGTTATTTGTGTATTTCTGGCTATATTTTATTACCTGAAAAATGGTAAACCTTTCAATTTTTTTATATGAATTCAAAATGGAGGACAAGTGTAATACAGGAAAGGCTTTATGTGATTAATGTACATGTTTGTTTGTTTTGGACTTTCTAAATTTGAATTTTTTTTAATTTGGTATAAAACTGGCCAAACTACTAACTTCTGTGCCCTTTTTAGGGTAGTTCTGATACCTGAATGGACAGATTCTTATCCTCAATTGACAGAATGGAGGGCATACTAGCAAAACAGCTAAGAATTGTCAAACTGAGCAGTGGAATTGGCTTAAAACAAGACAGTGGATGAAATTGCCAATGTGCAAATTGCATTCAGACCACCAAATTTGTGACTTTGGGATTCCTTAACCCTTTGAGGGGTTTCGGCCGTACTAGTACGGCTTACGCACCAGGGTTTTTAACGTACAAGTACGCCTAAATTCTAGTGCCCTCAAATCTAGTGAGAGAAAGCTGGTAGGCCTACATATGAAAGAATGGGTCTACGTGGTCAGTGTGCGCAGTATAAAAAAAAAATCCTGCAGCACAGTGCGTAATGAGAAAAAAAACTCTGACCGTGTTTTTGGAATAAAACAGCGACTTTGCACTGTATTTTCGTATGATATTTATTGTTGTATTCTAGTTTTCCTGGTCTCATTTTATTGAATGGAAGACATATTGCAGAAATTGAGATGATTTTAACTGGTTTTACAATGAAAAGTACCTTGAAATTGAGCGCAAAATAGCAGAAATGTTCGATTTTTACCAGTTCAAAAGTAAACAAATCATGCCAAGTGTCCAATACACGTCAACTGGTGAGTCTATTCTTTCACAAGTGCGCTGATATTATTTATACCATTTCTACACTAATGCAGTAGTCTGCATAACAGTAAATCTTCTATTTTTTGTAAGAATAAAAATTCAAAGTGGAAAGCAAAAGAAATATAAGAGGATCCTGGGGATGTGACAAACGAACAGAGAACTTGTTATTTTAGTGCCAGGAATGTCTTTCTTGTTTATTCTGGACTCTATTCGGAAATTGACATCTTTTGAAATTTGTATGAAATTGGCAAAATTGCTAAATTCTGACCACTTTATTGGATAGTTGAAATTGGTAAATGGGTGGTTTCTTGTACTCATTCAATAGAAAAAATGGAGTTCTAGCAAAAGTCATAAGTTTTGTCGACTAGTGCATTGGAATTGGCCGAAAATAGAGCTCAAAGTGGGCAAAATCGCCGATGCGTAAACATCGTCGAGACCGCTAACTTCGCGAGAGCATAATTCCATAAGTTTTCCATCAAATTTCACACTTTTGGTCTCATTATGAATGGGAAAAGATTCTCTATCTTTTCATAAGAATTTTTTTTTTTTTTTTTAATTTGGCCAACCCTGAGAACAAGTCTCGGAGAGGGCCTGTCGACCCTCAGAGGGTTAAGTTTCCATCAAATTTCATATTTTTGGTGTCATTTGCCTTCAGAAAGATTCTCTACCATTTCAAATTTTTTTTTTTTAAATTTCCAACATTATCAGCATTTTTGGGGGTTCTGACGATGAAAGGGTTAATTAAGAATTAAACTTATATTAACCCTCTGACTGTTTCAGACCCCTTTCTGAAACTGCCATTCTATGTCGCTAAATTTTTGAAAAAAAAAAAAATTCTTATGAAATGATAGAGAATCTTTTCCCGATGGTAATGACACCAAAAGTTCGACATTTGGTCAAAAACTCATGGAATTACGCTCCCACGAAGTTAGTGGTCTCGGCGACATATGCGTATCGGCGATTTCGCCGACTTTGAGCCCTATTTTCAGCCAATTCTGTTGTTCCAGTTGACCAAACTCATAGCTATTTCTTTAGAACTCCATTTTATCTATCAGCTGAATACAAGAAACCTCCCATTTACCAATTTGGACTACCCAATATTGTGGTCAGAAATTGGCAATTTGGCCAATTTCATGCAAACTAAAAAAGATGCCAATTTCAAAACAGGGTCCAGAATAAACAAGGTAGACATTCTTGGAACGAAAATAACATATCCTCTGTTCATTAGTCACATCTCTAGGCCCTCTTATATTATTATTGCTTTCTATTTTGATTTTTTATTCATACAAAAAAATACAAAATTTGTTATGCAGACTACTGCATTATTGTAAAAATTGTATAAATAATATCAGTGCACTAGTGAAAGAATATTAGACACTCCAGTTGACGTGTATTGGACGTGTGGTGTGATTTGTTTACTCCTGAACATTGGTAAAAATCGAACATTTCCGCTACTTTGAGCTCAGTTTCAAGGTCGTTTTCATCATCAAAGTAAAAAAAATCATCTCTATTTCTGTAATATGTTCTCCATTTTATCACCTAAGACCATGAAAACGCAAATACATCGATAAATACTATATGAAAATACACCTCAAAGTCGGCATTTCAATCCAAAAAAACGATCAGTTTTTTTTTTTTCTCATTACGCACTGTGTGCTGCAGGATTTTTTTTATGTGGTGCACACTGACCACACATACCCATTCTCTCACATGTGGGCCTACCAGCTTTCTTCCGCTTGATTTGAAGCCGCTAGAATTATTGAGTATATATACATCTGAAACACTGGCTCGTAAGACGTATATATATGACCAAAACAGTCAAAGGGTTAATAGTTGCTGCCACACTTAAAACACTACTGAACAGTAAATTACTTGCTACCAAGGTAACTCTGGGTAAGGACAGTATCAATTTCTATCTTACTGAAGTCACTTATGTTAACATACTGTGGTTCAAAGTTCCATACACTACATCTTAATCTCACAGCCCAATCCAAGTACTGGTACCTGACACTGGCTAACAGATCAGCTAAGTGCCAAGCACGGTGCATAGGTATTAGAAAGTATGATTCAAAATAAAGTACAGTAACATCCAAAAAACAATCCTATGACTAACCTGGCACTGTAGAGAGATCGTTCTATAAGCTTAACTGGGGCTTGAGTGGACTGAAGATGTAGCTCCAGCATAGTCATTTGTACGTAGGCTTGGAATGTATGTGCCCACCGACATGGGTCCTTGTACATCAAGTCCTTAAGGTAAAATTTTGTTTTGAAGTTTTGTGCTTCTATATTGAACAAATCTGCATACAATCAGGTATGTAATTAACAGAGGCCAGTGTGTTACCTAGGGCTACTAACTGGGGCACCTCACTGACAAGCTTCCCCATAGCTTGCAACTAAGCAAATGATTAGATTTTTATTTCAAATATCCCCAATCAACTGAAACGAGCATTTCAATATACTCAACACAAAGTTGACCAGCCCTTCCTCATCTGCATGCAGTTACAAAAAGCATTAAAATATGTACAAAGGATATAGGAAAAGATAATGAGAGGGTAATGAACACTAATACATACACTTAAGACACCTTTATTGACGATGTTATGAACCTGGGACCTTGATCACTTCAAATACAGTGGAACTTCGACTTATGAGTGTCCCACCATACGAGTTTTTTTCAGGACACGAGCAGTCACTCGGTTGTTTTTTGTTTCTGGATACGAGAAAAAATTCAGGATGCAAGCATCCCCCCTCAAACAACTTTTTTTTTAGACCTCCAGATCTTAGAAAAATAAAAGTGAATATATAATTGTAATTCATTGTCGTGATGTATTATGTTGTTTTTTACTGCTTAAGATTATAACTGCAACAGAAATAATAGTATTTCTTACCTTAAATTGTGGGTGCTGGTGTTTGTGGATGATTGTGAAGAGAGTGGAGAGTTATGTTGTGGTCCTACTGGGCTGAGGTGGATGGTAGAGGTTCTCGTACTAAAATTGATGGTTGTACTGGAGTGTGCATAAATTCTGTATAGGATTTCTGTTCTATTTTACCCTGCAGTACATTATACAACTGACAGTAAGGCATCAGCTGCTCTAGACACCATATCAGGGTCCTCTTCAGTGAAAAAGTCTGGAAAAAGTTTAACTAAGTCATTCAGTAAGTCAGTCAAGTCATTCAGTCAGTCAAGGCATTCAGTCAAGTCAGTAAGTCATTCAGTAAGTCAGCAACACTGGTATGCCTACTGGGTGTAATGATTGCTTGGCAGATACAAGACATGGCAATTAAAAGATCGAAACACAATTCACAAACACAGCTAGCTTGTAGGAGAGAAGTGGAATTGAACACATATTCACGAAGCTGGGATGGTAGTGTCGGGGGATGGCAGGAGGTCTCCCCCGCTGACCCACAAAAAGGCGGCCACCTGAGTTAGGGAATGGCCGCCACCACTTGTCACAATGACATATTTTATTCATTCTAGAGTATATATCAGGTTTCTATGTTATTTATACTGTTTATGTCATATTAGATGAATTGTGATAGATAAATAAGCCAGAGTTGATATTAGCATCATATTGAAGTAGTATTTTTGTTCTGCCTCCCAGAGCAGGAATTCCGCTGGAATGAATTAATGGAATTTCAATTAATTTAAGCGAGAAAAATTGAATCAGCATACGAGTGAGGCCACGGAATGGATTAAACTTGTAAGCCAAGGTTCCACTGTAGTATATATGAGAAAATGTAGGTTATATACAGTATAGTGTCCAGAGAAACAGTAGTGGTAGAGGGGTGCAGAAAGTCACTATTTGTGAAGAAGGGTCTATCTTATGGCTGTGTTACATGGTATTCTTGGGAAAGTACATTCTAAGATCAGATAGGCTAAGTCTGTTGAAATGGTATAACTGCCAGTTTTTTGAAAAATGGTGCTGGAGGTCGTGATGAGTGATGCTTTAAGGTAGTGATGGTTCCTGAAGATCAGTTTGGCATCTTTCCAAGGCATAAGATACCCCTAAGTGTGTGTACAACAGTAATTTGTGTGATGTGACATCCCTGCCGCTGGCAGTAACACTGACATCACACAGAAACAAGGAGATATCATTTGTTGAAGCAGTCATGGACTTAAAACATCATTTATTACCAGTTTCAATCCCACCCTAAAAACAAAAACGAAAAAAGGCAATTATAACATTTCCACAACCTTAGCCAATATGATCTTAGAACATGCATCAAAGAACTGCCACATAACTCAAGTCATAATTATGTTAAACCTTTCTTTACTTCCAGCGGTGTCCTTCACCTCACTACCACCACTACTGTACTACTCTCTCAACAGCCACTATATATTGCTCCTGTAGATTCGCCGGTACCGCTGGCTCGGGTCTTTTCCAGATGGTGACCCAGCAAAAAGGCTTGCTATGAAACAGGACAAGTGTTTCCTGATGCAGGTCTTAGTCAGATGACCTGCCACTAAAGTTTTTGGTCATCTGACCAATGCCTTCCATTCACTTACCAGTCCACCGCTTTAAAAATTATGGTCCTAGTTATGACCATTTTCTGAGCCACGGGGGCGTTGACCCCCGAAATCTTCTCCAGGTATAGCAAGTATCCTCTTATACTCCTCAAGTATGTATTTGAAGTGAACAAGGTCCCAGGGCTGAACCAACTTGCATAAAGTTGTCCTAAGTAAATGCACTCATGCTTACTTCCCTTTTAATTGTCAGCCTTCTTCTTTCAGCTCACTGGATTGTTTTGTGAACTCTTTACTTTATACTGTACAACTATTATCACACACTGTTATACTGTGCTGAAAGGCAAAATAATTCATGACTTCCAAGAACTCATGCATCTGTTCAAGAAATGTTAAAAGTATTTTATCAAGTGACATATTTTTAGCCATTCTGGAAAAATATCCTGCTTCTGCCTATTTTAAGTAGTAACTCATAATTACACAGCTGCATTGTAATGTTTTGCAACTAAATTCATGACTATATAAACTCATTACTATTGTTCTGAATTCCATAAATACGTTTAATTCATTAACTCTAACTTGCAACAAACAAATGTTGGAGCCTGGTTGCTGAACCCATTTTGTGCATCTGTAATATTTTGACTACTGATCAAAGGTGGATATGGAATTAATACTACAAATATTAACCTATCATTTTAAAAACCAATAAATTATTTTGTGCTCACATTAAAAAAAATACAAAGTGGAAATAACAGATGCTTCAAGAGATTTAAATAGATATGGATGCTTTCAAGTACACTCTCAATATACTTTTAAAATAAATTATTAATAAAAACATTTAGTAAACATTTCAGTCATTAATAGGTAACAAAAGTAACAGTACTGTGGCTGAAAATTCACAACCTATCTCCCTGATAATGGTTAAATCTGGACCCTGATCAAGTCATTACCTCTCAGTTATGACTTGATAATGGTCTACTACAGACTAGTGTTGTTTACAGTTTCCTCTCTTCACTGTGGGGCTTAGTCGTAATTATAATTAATAAATACTTAGTTTCTTGATAAGAAAATCGTCTGTATCAACATTCATGGTCCAAGACTATTCAACCAACCAACCAGCAACAGATATCAGAAACATTACTGGAACAGGTAAAGAAGTTTTCAAGAGGAAACAGGATAACTACCTCTGCCAAGTGACAGATCAACCAGGCTATATGATGGCTATGTGGTCTAAAATGAATTTATATTATTATATAATCATATTATTTGACTTTGTTGGGCTATCCTGGATTAAATTTGATCACTTCATCACCACTAAATGTCCTGTAGTTTACTGGTAGTTAATTCAGTATGCAAATGAAAAAGCCTCGGTTCAATTTCTGGACATAACTAGAAACATGAGTCTCCTTCACCTAGCCATAAATATGTGGAGTACCTAGCAGTCAGCTACTGTAGGTCACAATATAGTAAATAAAACTCAAGGAAAGTAACCCACACTTACCTGTTACCCAACAAAAGGCTGCAGTCAGAATGATAAATTCCCACTACAGGCAGCACACTCCACCAATATTCAAAACTCAAAACCTACTCACCATACAAAACATCCATACTTTTTACTGCACCTACTACATACATAGAACACTTAACTGATATAAACCCTCCCCTCAAACGTCTCCTTACCAACCTCAACAGAACACATGACCATAACACAAGGCACACATCACTCTTTGATGTTCCTCGTGTCCACCTCATGCTATGCAAAAACTCAATGCACATAAAAGGCCCTAAAATTTGGAATTCATTACCAGTTAATATAAAAGAAACACTGTCTGTTTATAAATTCAAGTCTCTTCTCAAAAATCACTTACTCACCCACAACTAAATAAATACTGAATAATTGTATCTCATAAATGTTTCTCAGTATTGTATCTCATAAATGTCTAACCTGTGACCCAATCAAACTTTGTTATTTTTTAATTACATTACCTAACAGAATACTCCATTCTATTGAATGCACAGCAACACAGTAACTGACCATATGACCTGTATTTGTAATACTCATTTGTGCTAAATAGTTATCTGTTTACAATAATGTTTTTACCACTGAATATATCACTGCTTAGTTAATCTTAAGTTAATTTTAAGCCTGCCCATAATGCTCTGCATACAAGGGGCTTTGGCATGTTGCACTTTAATAACTGTATTCCTTTCTACTTCTCTGTATCATGTTCAAATTAATAAATAAATAGGATTACCTGGGTAACTATAAAAATATCTTGTAAAAATATTAATGTACTTAAATTAAACCAACCATTTCAATAAAATGTGCAAGAAACTTTCCATATTACCTAAAAAAAAAATACTGGTAGCCTAAACTTCTTGACATTTAACCCTTTGACTGTCGCGGCCGTATATATACGTTTTATGAGGTGCCGTGTTTGACGTATATATACTCATAAATTCTAGCGGCTTCAAATCAAGCAGGAGAAAGCTGGTAGGCCCACATGTGAGAGAATGGGTCTGTGTGGTCAGTGTGCACCATATAAAAAAAATCCTGGAGCACGCAGTGCATAATGAGAAAAAAAAAACTCCGACCGTTTTTTTTAATTAAAATGCCGAATTTGTGATCTATTTTCGTATAGTATTTATGGTTGTATTCTCGTTTTCTTGGTCTCATTTGATAGAATGGAAAACATATTACAGAAATAGAGGTGATCTTGATTGATTTTCCTATAAAAAGAACCTAGAAATGGAGCTCAAAGTAGGGGAAATGTTTGATTTTTGCCAATGTTCAAAAGTAAACAAATGATGCCATTGTCCAATAAATGTCCAACTAGCCATTCTAATATGCAGTCATGAATGGGTTGATGTTATTTATACAGTTATTACAGCATTGCAGTAGTCTGCATAATAGTAAGTCTAATATTTTTTGTTTGAATAAAAATTCAAAATAGAAAGCAAGAGTAATATCAGAAGGGCCTGGAGACGTGACTGATGAACAAAGAAAACGTTATTTTAGAGCCAGGAATGTCTGCATTGTTCATTCTGGACCTTATTTTGAAATTGTCATATTTTTTAGTTTTCGTGAAATTGGCCAAATTGCAAATTTCTGACCACATTATTAAGTAGTTGAAATCAGTAAATGGGCAGTTTATTGTATTCAATCGATAGAAAAATGAAGTTCTAAAGAAATAGCTATGAGTTTGGGCGACTGGAACAATGGAATTAGCCGAAAATAGGGCTCAAAGTGGGCGAAATCGCCGATTTGTAAACAGCGCCGAGGTCGCTAACTTCGCGAGAGCATAATTCCGTCAGTTTTCCATCAAATTTCGTTTTTTTGGTGTCATTACAATCGGGAAAAGATTCTCTATCATTTCATAAGAAAAAAATAATTTTTTTTTTTTTAAATTTTGCGACACCAGGAGACACCTCAGGATTGGGGGTTGCGACAGTCAAAGGGTTAATAATGCTAATCAAGCAAATTTTATTTCTTTGCAAAGAATATAATGTGTGAATTACATTTTATAAAGTGCTTTTAAGTACACCTACCATCCAACTTAAACCTGCTTGACATATGACCACTCATACTTACAACCGTACGTCTGACAGCAGGGCTGGGCGGGCCGATGCATACCGCCGTATGACAGTTGAGCGGAGAACTCTCACATCACTCAGGCAGCATCACTTTGAGTTACCCTGCCTTATCAGCAGCATCATACTGTATTAACTACACTGTACTGTATATATGTACCTGGACAGTAAACTTCACCATGGCCCCTAAGAGGAAGTCTGAATCTTGCAATGGAGCTTGTAGTAAAAAGGCAAGAATGGCTCTTACTCTCGACCAGATGATGAAAGTAATTAAACAGTATGAGAATGGAAAAAACATCAACAGCATTTCTCTCAATCTTCAGCTTTCCCATTACATTGTGTTGACAATACTTAAAGAGTGCATCAAAGAAGCAGTGAAATCTTTGGCCCCTATGAAGTCGACAATTATCAAAAAGAAACGTGAAGGCCCAATTGCCGAGATGGAAAAAATGCCTACTATGTAGGTACTTTATATAGCAAAGGTTTGACATTATGCCATAACCAGTATGCCGATAATTTTCTAAGGTTCGACTTGCGTCCATTTTGGCTTATGACCAGTTGTCAGAACCAAGCTCGGTCATAAGTCGGATGGTACATGTATAAAGAAAACCACTAACACACCAGGGCACTTCGAACACATGAATGACATAAAACACTTGATACAGGTGGTAAAATAGAAAAGTCCTTTAAAGAAAGCTTGGGAATATACTAGGTTAAGTCATCATAACATCAGATTTGCATATTTATAGTATCCTGTTAATATGTAACAAAATAAAAATTATGTACATCTGTACCTGTACTCTACAATGATAAATTTGTATGACTCAAGAAATCGTAATGACACGATTGCAAATAAACCATACCCCCGGCCGGGATTGAACCCGCGGGTTCAATCCCGGCCGGGGTATGGTTTATAAATTTGTATGATGCTAATTAAAAAATAAGCAAATATTACACAAACTCACAATTCAATACTAGAATAGTCCAACACAACATAATAGTAAAATATAATAATAATAATAAGAATAATTTTTATGTCTACAATCACTAGCACACTCCTCTCACACACTGAGGTCTGGGGTTTGATCCCCAGTACAGGTGGAAACATTAGGATGTGTTTTCTCAAGATAAATGCTGTGTTCACCTATCAGTGAAATAGGTACCTGGGTGTTAGTCGACTGGTGTGGGTCATATCTTGGAGGCAAAATTGGCCTAATTTGCCCAAATTGCTCTGCATAACAAGGGACTTTCTGTACAGTGGTATGTCATTCATTCATATTAGCTAGGCCTGCATACATTGTACATGTATTTCTAGAATTATTATTATTATTATTATTATTATTATTATTATTATTATTATTATTATACAGACCTAGCTGACATCATATTATATAGTGAACCCCTGGTTATGCAGAGCATTTTGGGATATTAGGTTAAAATTTTCCCCAGGATGCGACCCACACCAGTCGGCTAACACTTAGGCACCTATTTACTGTTAGGTTGAACAGGGACATCTGGTGTCTTAAGGAAACACGTCCTAATATTTCCACCTGCACCGGGGATCGAACTGTGGACCTCAATGTGTGAGCTTAGCGCGCTACCAACCGGGCTACAGGACACCTCAAAATTGACAGAGAAATATAGAAAAAATTAAAACCCATCTCGGTTTGTGGGAACTAGAGGTCCGTATATGTGAAGATTTGTTGGGATTTTTAACTTTGGGGAGGGTTAGCAGCCACCCAGAATAACCTACTTAAGTCAGTGTCGTAGCTTTTTTTTTCTTCTATTGGGGTCCTTGAGTCATGTCCCCCAGGATGTGACCCACATTAATCAACTAACACCCAGGTACCTTGTTACTGCTAGTGAAAAGGGAGAGCAGGTGAAAGGAAACATGCCCGTTTCCAAATGTGCCGGGGACTGAACCACGAACGTTCAAGTGAGATGAAAACCCTGCCAACCGAGCCACGGGACACTATGGTACAGTGAAAGCAAAATGCTTGCTGGTAATAGGAAATTCTTATTAATAGTTAGGTAATTAATAGTTAGGTAATGACCTACCAGGAGATTACAGCCACGCACATCTCGCCATTTCTCGACAGGTTCTTGCAACACTTCAACATCGTCAAACTTGGAGAAGTGTTCTAGCAGCGTTGACTTCCCACTTCCGATGTTTCCCTCCACGCACACTGTGAACTTAGCCTTGGGTCCTTTCTCCAGCATCTCCAGAGAGTACTTAGGAACTTCAATTCTGGTGAAACGGGTGTGCACCTGCGCCTGTTCTGTTAAAAGTACCCCATAATAGTAAGATCCGCGCCACAACTGTATGAAAGATTGAATCAACCATTCAGAGCCAAGCAAGATACTGATGCACGTCATCTACCAATCAGAAGCTGAGACTCCCTCTAGTGATGCCTTTATCAGGATTTGTTTTAGCAATTATTATTTGAAGTATAGGCTTAGAAATAACATGACCGTGATTATATGACTGAGATATGTAAATAATTAATAATTCATTATTTATTATAAATATTTGGAAACATACAAATGAAGTATTCTGTTGCAGAGTTTCAATTTGCTCTTCCATACATTACCATATTTGTTTTTGCATTAAAATAACAGTGAACGAGATCATTCACTGTTTAATGCAATACAACATGTATATAACTTTGAAAATACATCAAATAATTCTTAATAATCGTGGTAAAAATAGTTCATTATCGATTACACAAATTCTCTCCTGGCATCTTCGGTGAGGGGTATAAACATAATAATAATAATAATAATAATAATAAAATAATAATAATAATAATAATAATAATAATAATAAAAATAATAATAATAATAATACAAGGAAATTGTAATAATCTGTATGTTAATTAGTAAATTTATTTAGGTACAGGTACACATAAGTACAGTTACACAAATTTAGGTGACTACGATTACCATAAATAAATAAATACAAAATAAACCATGTAAACTACCCAGGATAACCCACCATTTGGGTCCTCTCAGTATCTTATTATTTAAAGCCTAGCTGTAAGATATAATAGAAATCTGTCAAAATTATAACCTTAAAAATTAAAACAGCTAAGTAACTCAACTGTGAAACTCAGTTACGGTAAAAAAGAAGTGCATATAGGAATAAAGTGAACCGAGTTATTTACATAACATTAAACAGAGATGATCAGATTACAATAACAGGTACACGAAATTACTTCTCAGTGTTAGTATACTCGTGACATGAAGCCTGAAAAATCCATGTCGAGTCGATAGGTCTTTTAAAAAAAAAGTGATTGTTCTCGCGATTTTTGAAGGCGATAGAAAGAAAACGGCAAATAGTTTTCGAATCACTATCGTTACTTTCTTTAAAGTTTTGGTGTTATTCAATGGATGTGAATAACAAATGGACTGCAGTAGCACATGTTTATTTTGGTAAATGTTAATATTGTAGAATTACATTTAGCGGTATTGTAAGTCGCTCAGAGCTGGTTCCTTGACGTCAGTGAGATTTTTATCCAATGAATTGGCCCTGCTGTCCCCTTCCTTGGATCGAAGCTAATAGCCTCCATTTCTTCCCCCTTTCCCAGGTGCTGTATAACTCTGACTTGGTGCTCTCCCATCATAATAATAAGGACGTGTTCTAAAAAAAAAAAAAAAACAGACCACATTACCTGTCTTATCTTGGGTTAACAATACGAAGAAAGCCTTTTTCCCAACATGTGAAACTTTTAATTATTTTAGTAAAAATTATTGCTTCAATTTTTTTTAAGGAGAGCGAAGTTAGTAGTATAAATAAATATAAATCAACTAAACCAGCCACCAGCCTTCACCACACCTGCACCAGCCTTCACCACACCTGCACCAGCCTTCACCACACCTGCACCAGCCTTCACCACACCTACACCAGCTTTCACCACACCTGCACCAGCCTTCACCACCTGCACCAGCCTTCACCACACCTACACCAGCTTTCACCACACCTACACCAGCCTTCACTACACCTGCACCAGCCTTCACCACACCTACACCAGCTTTCACCACACCTGCAAAAGCCTTCACCACACCTACACCAGCTTTCACCACACCTACACCAGCTTTCACCACACCTGCACCAGCCTTCACCACACCTACACCAGCTTTCACCACACCTACACCAGCTTTCACCACACATACACCAGATTTCACCACACCTACACCAGCTTTCACCACACCTGCACCAGCCTTCACCACACCTACACCAGCTTTCACCACACCTGCACCAGCCTTCACCACACCTACACCAGCCTTCACCACACCTACACCAGCTTTCACCACACCTACACCAGCTTTCACCACACCTACACCAGCTTTCACACCTGCACCAGCCTTCACCACACCTACACCAGACTTCACCACACCTACACCAGCTTTCACACCTGCACTAGCCTTCACCACACCTGCACCAGCCTTCACCACACCTACACCAGCTTTCACCACACCTGCACTAGCCTTCACCACACCTGCACCAGCCTTCACCACACCTACACCAGCTTTCACCACCTGCACCAGCCTTCACCACACCTGCACTAGCCTTCACCACACCTGCACCAGCCTTCACCACACCTGCACTAACCTAAACCACGCCTGCACCAGCATTCACCACACCTGCACCAGCCACTAGCCTTCATCACACTTGCACCAGCCAAACATCCTTTACCACATTGCACCAGCCAAATATCCTTCACTATACCTGCACCAGCCTTCACCACACCTACACCAGCTTTCACCACACCTGCACCAGCCTTCACCACACCTGCACCAGCCTTCGCACCTGCACCAGCCTTCACACCTGCACCAGCCTTTGCCACACCTGCACCAGCCTTCACCACACCTGCACCAGCCTTCACCACACCTGCACCAGCCTTCACCACACCTGCACCAGCCTTCACCACACCTGCACCAGCCTTCACCACACCTGCACCAGCCTTCACCACACCTGCACCAGCCTTCACCACACCTGCACCAGCCTTCACCACACCTGCACCAGCCTTCACCACACCTGCACCAGCCTTCACCACACCTGCACCAGCCTTCACCACACCTGCACCAGCCTTCACCACACCTGCACCAGCCTTCACCACACCTGCACCAGCCTTCACCACACCTGCACCAGCCTTCACCACACCTGCACCAGCCTTCACCACACCTGCACCAGCCTTCACCACACCTGCACCAGCCTTCACCACACCTGCACCAGCCAAACATCCTTTACCACACCTGTACCAGCCAAATATCCTTCACTACACCTGAACTAGCCAAATATTCTTCACTACACCTGCACCAGCAAAACATCCTTCAGCACACCTACACCAGCAAAACATCCTTCACCACAAAACATCCTTCACTACACCTGCACCAGCAAAACATCTTTTGCTACACATGCACCCACCAAGCATCCTTCACTATACCTGCACCAGCAAAACATCCTTCACTACACCTGCACCAACCAAACATCCTTCATTACACCTGCACCAACCAAACATCCTTCACCACACCTGCACCAGCAAAACATCCTTCATTACACCTGCACCAACAAAACATTTTTTGCTACACATGCACCCACCAAGCATCCTTCACTATACCTGCACCAGCAAAACATCCTTCACTACACCTCTACCACGAAACATCCTTCATTACATCTGCACCAGCAAAACATCCTTCACCACACAAGGCCTGTTCACGAACCGGGCTGTGGAGGGCATTGATCCCCAAAAACCCCTCCAGGTATACACCTGTGCCAGCAAAACATCCTTCACCACACCTGCACCAGCAAAACATTCTTCACCACACCTGCACCAGCAAAACATCCTTCACCACACAAGGCCTGTTCACGGACCGGGCTGTGGAGGGCATTGACCCCCAAAAACCCCTCCAGGTATACACCTGTGCCAGCAAAACATCCTTCACCACACCTGCACCAGCAAAACATCCTTCACCACACCTGCACCAGCAAAACATCCTTCAATACACCTGCACCAGCAAAACATCCTTGACTGCACATGTACCCTTCACACATGTACCAGCAAAACATCCTTCACTACACCTGCACCACATAACATACATAACATCCTTCACCACACCTGTACCAGCAAAACATCCTTCACTACACCAGTACACCCCCTTTAACTAGGATGCCTGAACTCAACCTTTCACAGGTAAACATCAACACCACACCTGCACCAGCACACCTTAACACCATATAATATACAAATTATATTATGTCAACCAAACTGCCATCCCTGAGCCCCTCCCATAAAAATTAAACTTCTGGAGCCTCTCCTGTTTCTATACCCACAGATACACTGTGACTGAATATACATGTATTTCTGATCAAGCTGCTGGTACCCAGTGATGTAGGAACAAGTCTACACCTAATGACCAACTCAGGTTTAGTGCTTCATATAATAATTCTGCTAGTATCCACATACAGTAGGCCCCCGGTTTTCGTCCGATGCAGAAATTGGCCAATTCAGAAATTGAGCAATTTTTTTCAGCGAAATTTCCCCCCGGATTTCATGCATCTGCTCAGAAATCGTTGGTACCAAACGCATTCACCTAGGTTACTCATACGTTCGTGACTCACTCTTGGGCACATTAAATGTCTTATTTTAGGTTAATATAGACATTTTCAGTAAACCATTTATAACATTTTCTTCAAAATTACAGTACATAAGAAACACATTACATCAAACGATGAATTGGGTGGAGGGTAATTATTACATTTTCTCTGGCCGAGCATTAGAGAAAATTGTGAATCTGGCATCTGGCCCAGTTATGGCCCTTAACACACATTTGTTTACAATTCTCAGCATGAATTTTTCATTACTTCTCCCTTTGTTTATGATGGCATCTAAAGATAGTTGTTAGAAATGATTAAACTCAGTGAACATGGTTTGTCGATGGTAATAATATGGCTGTGTTCTGCAGTGTAGGTAGCTGGTAGGTGTAGCCCAGAGGGACTACATATGTGTACCTACATCTACTGGCTACCTACACTCACTTACTGCAAATAAATACTACTCACCTCTCGCCCTACATTAAGGCTACAAATATTTTAAGTAATGAATGTACTAACCACTGAAGAGCTGCAACACTGTAGTTATTCTCTCTAACATTTATTTTTTGTTAATATTTTTGGGTGTCTGAAATGGATTAATTGGATTTACATTATTTCTTATGGGAAATATTACTTCAGTATTTGGCCACTTTGAATTTAGGCCAACCTTCTGGAATGGATTAATTACGAAAATTGGGGGTCTACTGTACATGGTAAACCTTTCGCAATAACAATCACCAATTATAAAAAAAAAGGGCCAAGGATGCTGCTGCCTCTGCCATGAATTAATATGGCTCCTACTTCACAGGGCTGATCTGATTAAAAAAAAAATCTTGAAAAAACATCAGTATTTTTTCAGATTTTTACAGTATTTAAAAATCTTAAACTCTCTAATCAGTGAATATATTGCAGTTTTAATGGAAATGCTGTAATATACTTTTGATCCTTTCCTTAAATAAAAATTAATGCCACAAATCTATACATTTATGTAATTTAATTGGGCAATGAAACTTAACTGTTAAATTTATATCCTTATTTATTGACATACAAATGAGTTTACTGAATACCGTACTAAGCAACTGGCTGCAGATTCAGAGATTAAGAAACAGAATTGTGTAATTGACCTTTAATTGTTGCTATATTCTGAATATTAATCATCCTCAAAATTTATTGCTGTCAAGTAATGCCACTGAAGTGAATAATTTGGCTACCTCTAGAAATATGTTAGACAAATGCACAAGTGCCTGCCTAGAACGGGTCAGTAGTTCTACTGTTAGTGCTTCTGCAATGCTCATTTTTATGGTGATGAAGACTGTTTTCGAATGCGTGAGTACTATAGCTCTGAGTTCAATATATGATTCCATACTCTCAGAGAACATGCACAGTCTTTTAGAGGTGTGCCACTTCTTCACTGAAAATTGAATTTATGGATATTTCAGTGCCTTAAAAATATCATGAGCATATTACTATGTACACCATGTTCTTTATATCCCCTTTACATATTCCCATTTTCTATTTTTACACTTTAATCATACCTCCAAAAATTCTGTCTTTCCAGAGACTGCAAATTCAATGCATTCAGCCTATCTCCCTAAGAGATGTTTCTGATGCATAGACTCAACTTTGTCATCCTTCTCTATATATTTTCCAATGCAATTGGGTCCATTCTGTAATATGGAGACCAGAACTGAGTAGCATAATCTAAACGAGGCCTTACCAGAAACGTATAAAGTTGAAGTATGTATAACCTTAGGACATCAATCATTTATATTTCTTTATGTTAAGCCAAGAGTCCTGTTAGGTTTATTGTAAACACTTATGCACTCTTTTAAATTTCTGCGAATGAGAACTAAATCCTTTTTGCATTTAGTGTATAAGTACCCTAGTTATTTTCATTTCTTAGGATTAGAGCCTCATATTTGTCCACAATGAAATGCATGTCCCACTTCACCAACTAAATCAACCTATCCAGGTCATCCAGTAGCTTTTTAGCATCCTTGACAGGAATTATATACAGCGCACTTTAGTGTCATTGGCAAACTTAAGTCACTATTTACAGTATTCCCTCATCCGTGTCATTTAGGTAGATTGTGAACAAGAGTCCCAATATTGATACCTGTACTACACCACTTGTAACAGGTCCTCATTCTGATTTCTTCACATTTATGCACATTATGTTACCTATCTGTCCGCTATGCCTCAAACCAGGAGGCCTGGTCTCAGACCGGGCCGCGGGGGCGTTGACCCCCGGAACTCTCTCCAGGTAAACTCCAGGTATATCATGTGCTGCTATTTTTTTCATCAGTCTCCTATGTGAAATGCTATCATAGGCCTTGCTGAATTCACATACGCATTACTATATTCTTAATTTTCGTCTACCACTTTGAATATATTAGTGCAAAAAATTTAGTAAATTTGTTAAGCAAGAATGGTCCTATGTGAATTTATGCTGAGTCTCACTGATTAAATTATATCATTCAAGGTTTACCTGGAGTTTACCTGGAGAGAGTTCCAGGAGTCAATGCCCCCGCAGCCCGGTGGTTTCATACTACACCTATAATTTATTCCATCAACTTTCCCACAACTGAGGTTATACTGACTAGTCTATAATTTGAAGCTACAGACCTATCTCCTTTGCAAATGGGTATCACATCTGCCGTTTTCCACTTTTCCAGTAAGATATGTATACATTTGTAGTAATCTGTTAAAGAAACTTAGGTAATAGACGACAAATGATTCTCAGTGGATTATAACCTTTATTTATAGTGTGAATAGTTCAATATTAAATTAGTATTACAGGTATACTCCAGATATACCCAGGTATACTCAGTTAGGATAACTCACCCTTACTATGTCATCAGTAGATATGCTTACATTCAGCCAGGAGAATTTCACAACTTAGTACATACTTTAGTAAAGACTGACCCAGACATGCTGCATAACCAAAATAAATGAATTATTTTTATTAATATCTTCCAAGGTAACAATCTGCACACTAAATACTTACCTATTCTGTGGTGTACATAAGTTATGTATTTTAAAATATAAACTAATGCCGGGGTTCCGCCAAGTAATGGTCGTAAACTACAGTCAAGACAAGCTAATAGTTTATTACGTTCCTCTTTGCATTCCTTTAAAACTTTTGAAAACCGCTCTGTGCTCTGTGACTTGCTTGCTTTCAGTCTACCCAAGTTGTTGGAGGATCGTCTCACAAGCGACTTTGCTCTCGTATAATTTATTCTCTAAAGAACAAAAAGACACAATACTGTGACTGGAATTTATTCTCGTCCTGACCTACTGAATTATTGATTTCTGGAATTTCATTTGCATCTTCTTGTGTAAAGCCTGGCACACTAATGCCTAACCCAAGGTGCACAGGCCATTAGGTCAACTCAAACATGCTTGTGGCCACATACAAATATACAGTATTATTATTATTATAATCAAGGGGGAAGCGCTAAACCTGGAGGATTATACAGCGCCTGTGGGGGGGGATGTGGAAGGCATTCAGGCTTAATTCGGGGAACTGGAGCACAGATCCAATTCCCTAAATCAAGAGCCCCTCACCAACATCAAGGAACCTTCCTTGAGGGGACAAATATACAGTAATTTCGTAAAAATCTACTTACCAAATAGTCGAGCAGTGCTCCTGGCCGACATGCTGCTACACGTTATTGGTCTCGCTGCCACGTGAACTCTTAATTTCGATAAACTATTGAGTGACGTAGTAAAGCCGACACGCAACATGATAAACTCAACATATACAGCCTGTTAGAAATAAGAAAGGAAGGAGGCATCATGAATAAGCTACCGGAAGCATATCGTCATGTTATGGGAGAGTTTTGAGGGCTACCACAGCTCACGATGTTTATCACAGAATGGATGGAATTTGAACTCATGACAGGCGAGTCCTGAAACTCACAGGCCAGTGCGTTGTATCTAGTCCTACCTCCTAGTTTCTGGGGTAGGAATAGTGCCCAAAGTTGGGGTCGGAATGGACAAGGGTTCCTAACTAACCCTCAAGACCAGAAACAGGAACGGAAAGTTCCGAATTAGGGCAAGTGAACCAACATAAAATTCCTAATATCTATTGCCTAATAAATCTTAAGTTAGTCCCATGTTTGCCTAAGATACTCTCCCAATATAGGAGCTTTAATAGAAACAGTGCATCATGCCAAGACAAAACCATTCCCATTACTAAATTTACCAGTTTTAATATTGTTATGTTTTGTACTACCTCACCATTATAAATCTAATTAATCACTTCAGTTACCTAACTTTTATATCAGTATGCAATAATGTATGTTAAAATGTGCTGCTCTATAACCTGTGTCAATATAGAATAAGAATTAGGATTAGTCCCGTAGCTCGATTGCTAGAGCACTCAGCTCACACAATGAGGTCCGGAGTTCGAATCTCCTCCGGTATGGCTGAAAAACATTACGTACCTCTGTAATCTGTAAATACCTTTGTAACTTGTCATGATTGTGACCAGACTTACCTGGAGTTCATTACCTTTGTAAATTGTGAGTTCATTACCTTTGTAAATTGTGAGTTCATTACCTTTGTAAATTGTGAGTTCATTACCTCTGTAACTTGCTCAGCTATCAAAACTTTGGAGTCCAGTCCCTGGACCAATTATGTACCTCTGTAATCTTTTGACTACCGCCCACAGGATGGGTATGGGGTGCATAATAAACATATTAAACTAAACTAACTTTCCGTAAGACACCTGCTGTCCTCGTTCACCCATCAGTAAAATGGGTACTTGGGTGTTAGTCGACTGGTGTGGGTCGCATCCTGGGACAAAACTGACCTAATTTGCCAGAAATGCTCTGCATAACGAGCGGCTTTTTATATAGTAGTATGTCATTGATGTCAGCTAGGACTGTATTCCCTGTGCATGTACTTGTTAAAATAGATATTATATTATATTATATTATAGTATTATATTATATTATAGTCTGCCCGAAATGCCTAGGCATGCTGGTGGCCTTTGTAATTAATATTTTATAACATGTAAACCACACATTGTAAGCTTTAAGCAAGGAAATAAACATTTTCATTTTCATTTTCCACTGCCTTGACCTCGGCAGAGCCAATTTAGTTGTGCCACCTGAGCGGCTAGTTTATAATGCACGAACAGTTTATCCTGTGAGCGGTAGCGCAAGGACACAGGATTTCCGAGGTCACGATGAGTCTGTCAGACCCAGTGGACATTGTTATATCAATAGAACGAATATTAATCATTTCGTATTCTACATTTACTTCATATACTTGTTATACACAGTACAGTAAGGAATATAGTAAACAAAAATACATATCTCATTACCACTAAATAAAATTAGTCGTAACTGGGTTTCAATCTCTATTAAAACAGATTGTTCATCTAGTCAATGAATAATGTAGATGCAGCCTCAAGATTTCAGTAATCTTATCTTTAACAATGATGTGTTTGCCAGACGCCCACAACTCTTCCCTACATGAGTCAGCAACAGGCTTTTTTCCAAGCCTAGAAATCCTCAGAAGCAAGTGGAGCCAAAGTATGTCACCCAGATCAATTTGCCCAGTAGGTCCTGAAAGCAAACGGAAAATTCGTCACCAATGCTTTAGGAATAAGTATCAAGCCTTGCTTCCCGATGAAGGGAAAAGATATTGGCCAAAGCTGGCAGACACAGGTACGGTAGGATTATGGACAGTGAAGTCGGAGTACAACTGTGGACTCCATCTCACATTGGTCTTCAGATGCATGATAGAACTGATGAATTGACTAAGATTGCAAGTAATAGATTACAATCTTGGGCTGTCAGTTAACAGTTTGAGAACAGTTATACGAAAAGAACTTCAACTGAACTTTATTGACTTAAGACTGATGGAGATTGACACCTGTCAGTGAAGCGCTGTGTGACCCTAATGGGTTTAGCGCTTCTTTTTTTTTATTATAATAATGACGCCAGTCAGTACATCTGTCATGCAGGAGGAGCCACATGTCTATGGTGCATCCAACAAAATAAGCAGACTCTTGGATGTCACTACCTCCCGGCTCCGGCTGGGTTACCAGTATTTATTTATTTATTTATTTAGAAATTTAAGCATACATACAGAGGTACAAAAAATACAGGTAAGAGCAGCATGCCAAAGCCACTTATATGCATAGCATTACGGGCTGGCTTAAAATTAACTTAAGATTAACTAAGCAATGATGAAATCAGTGATAAAACATTATTGTAAACAGATAACTATAAAGCACAAATGAGTATTACAAAGACAGGTCATATGGTTGCTTGCATTGCTGTACATTCAGTCGAATGGAGTATTCTGTTAGGTAGTGTATTTAAAAAAATAATAAAGTTAGATTGGGTCCTAGGTTTAACATTTGTGTGATATAATTGTGAGTAACATATAGGATATACAATTTATAAGGTTCAGTTATTCAGTATTTATTTGGTTTTGAGTAAGTGAACTTTGAGAAGAGACTTGAATTTATAAACAGGTAGTGTTTCTTTTATATTTACAGGTAATGAATTCCAGATTTTAGGGCCTTTTATGTGCATTGAGTTTTTGCATAGCGTGAGATGGACACGAGGAACATCAAAGAGTGATCTGTGCCTTGTGTTATGGTCATGTGTTCTGTTGAGGTTGGCAAGGAGAGTTAAGTGTTCTATGTATGTAATAGGTGCAATAATAAGTATGGATGTTTTGTATGGTGAGTAGGTTGAGTGTTTTGAATATTGGTGGAGTGTGTTGCCTGTAGTGAGAATTTGTTATCATTCTAACTGCAGCCTTTTGTTGGGTAATTAGTGGTCTGAGATGGTTAATTGTTGTTGAGCCCCATGCACAAATTCCATAGGTGAGATAGGGGTAAATAAGAGAGTGATAAAGGGCCAGGAGGGCTGACTGTGGAACATAGCACCGTATCTTCGATAGTATGCCTACAGTCTTGGAAATTTTCTTAGAAATTTGTTGTATATGTGTATGAAATTTGAGTCTATTATCGAGGTGGATTCCTAGGAATTTTCCCTCAGTTAGCTTTGTGATAGGTGATCCGTTTATTGTTATGTTAAGAGGTACATCTGTAGCTCTGTTACCAAACTAAATGAAGTGGGTTTTGTCAATTTTTAGTGTAATTTGTTAGTCCCATCCAGGAGATATTTCTGAATTCGGTTTTAAGTATTGGCTAGCGTGCTGGGCTCGGGGAAGAAAGCTATTAGTGACTGAAAAAATGTGGGTTTTGAGTAATTGCGAACATTTGGAAGGTCATTTATGTTAGGAGAAAGAAAAGAGGGCCAAGGACATTCCCTGTGGGACCCCAAAACTGTAATTGGTTTGCGGAAGCTTGCCCCTTTTTTCGTCCCCATTTTGGCTTCTGTTGCTAGGTTTGATTTAGGTAGTTGAGGGAGTGCCCTCTAAACCTGTTGAAAAATTTTTACGTGGAGCAAATCATGGTAAACTGTATCAAAAGTTTTACGAATCAATGAAGACCCCGGGGGACTTCTTTTTCTCTATTGCGTGTTATATTTCTAGAGTGAAAAATACATCTTTAGTATTTTTTTACCTAAAACCCAAATTGGGCAGGGGTTGGAATGTTTTGGGAGATGGGAGGAGTAGATTCGTTTATGAATTAAAAATTTTTGAAGATTTTTGAAGAGGGGTGAAATGGAAAATTGGTCAAGTTATTCAACTCTGTTGGACTCCTCCTTTTTGGATCGGGGTGACCCTTGCATTTTGAGAACTTAGGGAAGGGGAGGATTCAAGGGAAACTTTGGAGGTTAAATTTCCCTCACCAGTTGTATACCAAAAAATGTAAGCTTTACCAGATGGATTATTGTCAATCTTTCGTCTATGTACTGAATGCTATAAACTTAATGAATTCAAGAAACTCATTCAAAAAAAGTTCAAGAAATGCCAGTATTTTACTCACAGGGTATATTTTAAACCCCGTTGGAAAAATACCCCGACTTTGCCCACTGTAAATGAAAAATTACTCAGGGGCGACAATCAAATTATTTTTTTTTGACCCAGACTCATTATCCTAAACCAAAGATTTTGAAAAAGCAATTAAAGAAAAGCCCATGCACTCTGCCCAGACCCGGATCGTGGAACTCTTTTTCATCAAGAACTGCAAGAAACCCCCGTCACGTGCCTTTGCATCCATGGGGGGAGCATGGACACGGGGGGCATCCGAAGTTTCAAAAAAAACAGACAAGCCCCACTCCCAAAGGGGGCAGTAAAGCAATTTCAAAGAATACAGACCCAAGCGCTAAAAATCCCATATCATACACAAATAACCCGCACCCTAAAAGAAGGGGCCTTTCAACGCTTTTTGGTCCAATTGGGGCCATTTACAAAGGAAGAATGAGACACTTATGAAAAACAAGGGAATCTTTATTGAAAAAACGTTTCGCCAACAGTGGCTTCATCAGTCCAATCAAAGTAGAAAGGGGTAAGGAGAGTAAAAAGTATGAGGTAATCAGCCCCTAAACCCTGGATTCGATGTGTTCTCCATAAATCTTGTAGTAAGTGCGCATGGGGCCAAGAGGTGGTTTATATACTGGGTGAGTGAGTTAAAGCAAGAGGGGGGGTCTTGCTTCAATCCTCACGCATATATAAGCCACTCTCGGGCCCCTATGCTGCCTTACTACAAGAGTGATGGACTGAAACATCGAATCCGGGTTGGGGGACTGATTACCTCATACTTTACTCCCTTACCCATTTCTATTTGTTTTGACTGATTTAAGCCCCGGTGGCGAAACGTTTTTCAATAAAGATTCCCATGTGTTGCTAAATGTCTCAATTTTTCAAAATTTTTGTTTTTCAAAAACCATTCATCACATTTACAAAGTCACTGGCTTCGTTTCTGAGACGTCTTCCTCT